GCCGACCTTCCCCGCACTGCCTGACGCAATTCATCGCACTCCCAGCACCAGTCGGCCCACCCCCGCCCCCGCTTCTCCTCTCCTCTGCACATCACGCATTGGAACCCAAAGCAAGTCTGAGACACAATGCCCAAGAAGCAATAAAAACATAAAGCCAAACGGGAACTGTCACTGATACCGGCGTTAGCTAGAAAAAAAAAAGGTTTGACATTCTGTCGCCGCATCCCATCGTCGGCCTCCCTCACCAACGCATCAAAATCCGGGCTGGAGATGTATTCATCAATGGATCGCAGCAAGGGAGGAAGAATCGCTTTTCCCTGGCCCCTGCGCTCTGAGCTGTATTCCTCCGCCGCATCCACTCCATGGCTACATAATTTATCCCCCATTTTGTACATCCTATCCAGCAGAGGCGAGCGACACAGGGCAATCTTCTTCAGCATGTTCCCAATCAGCAGATTAAGAGTAGCAGTTGAGGGCGCCTCGTCAGAGGAGACGGGGTATTCCGTGCCGGTGGGAATCGTGTTGTATCGCATGAGGCGCACCGCGGCGGAAGGCAAGATGCCCACAAAAGTCGTATACTTGCGTGCCGTGGATGCCCCATCGCCGTTTCGCAATGGAGAGACGCTAGGAGAATGCACCCTCTCAACTGGGCTCTTCCTCTTCTCTCGCTTACGCGAAAAGAACACAGTGGTTTCAAGCGGCACCAACTCAACTTCCTCCTCACGACAAGCGTAATCTTGCAGCAGATGGCGCTGCTCCAGGATGAAGAGAACGTGCAACATGCGTCGCAGGTAGCTGTAACGCGTCACAACAGACGTCGATGCCATACCCGTCGCATCCCCTCCGACCAACTGTGCCAAAGAGAGCGCCGATGAACTGCCTGCGGGAGGAATGACATAATGAAGGCACATATGCAATTTTTGAAAGCCTCCTTGCCCTGCAGCGGTCCTGGGTAACCGATCAGGGAGTGTTATGGACTCCAGACGAAGAAAGGCGAAGGGCTTGTCCGCGTCCGCATCACAGTCGTTGCAAAGAAAACCGCCATGTGCGGAGCCTGACGGGTCCGCCTGAAACCAAAGTGCGTCACAAAGGGCATCCCATACCTCGTCGTCTTCGTCAGCTACGTTTGCGGCCCGCCTCGCGGCGAAGGCGTCCCTGTCCAAGAAGAAGGCGACAGAGATGTCGAGACTGCGCCTCGCCCCCGTCGTGGTGCTGCTACTAGTCGAAGCAGCGGCGGCCAGAGTTGAGGCAGCGCCCTCGAGTATTCGCGGAAACTCTCGCTGCGTTTGTCGCCTCGCCGCCCCATTCGCCACAAGGCCGAGAAAGCACCGAAGCACAGCAATCAGTTCTGTCACGTGAGACTGCACTGCGCCGAGACTGGAGTTATGCTCCGACACCAGTCGAATCAAATTCATTGCAATGTCATCCATGCCATCAAAAAGGAGGTCGCCCGGCCACCTCCCACGCGCAATCTGCGCACATGTGTGGTGAAGCGAGAGACGCATCCAACGTCGGTAGAGGGTTTGTGAAACCCCAGTGGAGGCACCAGCACCAAGCGGTCGTCCGGAAAGCTTCAGCAGGGACATGAGCGACTCGCACACCTCCTCAACATGACGGGGAAGTTGGCCAGTTGGGGAGGGAGATATAAGCAGCATAGACCCTTCAAGTGCGGGAGAGACAGATGTACGCTGCGGCGTCTCACGGTCCATTATTGCCTTAAGCGAACCCACGTCATTTGAAGGAATTCCCAGACGCTTTATTACCGCTTCGTGGTTCGTGCCACAGTGCTGCAAAATCCAATTATCATATTCCAAGAGAAGCTCCCCCGCCAGACGTGCCTGTGAGTGAAGCATGACCATATCATCTACCAAACATTTATACACCACCATCGCCGCTAAACGACTCCTTCGATACTGCTCCTGTTTTATCCCTAGCATTACACCAGTTTCCTGTCGATCCTGTATTCTTTGAAGCAGATTCGTAATGACATCACGTTCCTGCTGCAATGCCTTCATCGCGGCATCCGACAAAATTCGAACTTCATCCACATCGCCAACTTCCCTCATTAAAAAGGAACGTGACCTTGCTGGAAGGCTTGGCGGAACAGGTTCCCCCGAATACACAAGCGATGGAGCACGGGCCTTTGATGCAAAGTGCGCATGCAAAGCGTGGTGAAGCATCGTCATCACATGCTCCGATTGATTGTAATACTCCTGATACACATACTTTTCCTCTGGAGTAAGAAAAGAACTAGTGGCAGCGGTGATAGCGAGCGGTGAAAGATTTTCGCGAAATGTTCGAATGCGAGAATGCATTCGATGTCGCTCTGCCTCAATCACCTCACGACGATCACTCTCAAGTGTGCTTACAGCCTCAACAAAGGAAAACTGTCGCATGGCTTCCAATAACTCAGTCTCCGTCGTTAACTCCCCCTCTGAAAGTACATACTCGACTTGCTCCAATGCCTCTTCCAGGGAATGGAGAGAATGAGAGATGACCCACCGTGTGTACCACCGCACCATGGACACCTCTCTCGACACATCCGCAAAGCACGCATCCCTCCCCATCAACTCCGTGAAGAGCCCCATCGCATCTACTGCCTGCGTTGGAACTCGTTCCCCTGTTTGAAACCTCCCAGAACTATCTCTTCTGTGGCTGTCATGAGAGGGTGATGTGGAACGTGCCTGTTCAGCGGATTCGCGCCGTAGCGCCTTCTCGCTCTGCAAATACGCATCCAAATTCCGGAGTTCGCCACCTAATCTCTCAACAACACCTTCCAAGTCATACGGTAGCGGAGCCTCGTACGACGTAGGAGCCTCTTCGCATACAATAAAGGGGTAGCTAGCACACTTCAGCGTACGTAACACTTTCGCATCCACCGTGCGATGGACCGGCTCAACTGGGGGCTTCACCGAGGCTGTTCCGTCGTAATCCTCGTGACTGTTACGAAGTTCCTGCCGCAACAAAGACACCACCTTCATCTCCTCCTCCACCTGCAGTGGAGTCATCGCCAACACCAAAGTGTTGTTCTGGTTAGGCACGAGCATTTCGCCGCGAAATGAGACGAATAAAGGAGGAAGTAAGAAAGAAAACACGCGACCGTTTCCGCTGAGTCACGCCCTGCTTCTTTTTTTTTTCAGCTTGTTCCGCTTTTTTTTTCAGATGTGGGCGATGCAGTTGTTGTTTTTGGGTCCGCTTCTTTGAATCCTCTCCTCCCCTCCCCTCGCTTCAGCTTTAGCTCTTTGTCCCTCCCCAGGAGGTAGGGGCGGGCGATTCCTCGGAATCCATGCATATGGATGGGGAAAAAAAGAGCCGAGAGAGAAAAAGAGTGGCAGAGTTTGTGTGTGTGGCGGAAATCAAAAGTCGTACGTACGCCTTCTTTGATGCATGCGTGGAAAGAGCTCCAGCCCAACGCAAAGCAAGGTTTTCGCTGTGTTCCCTACAACATCGTCAGTGGCAGGCAAACCGCAAAAAAAAAAAAACTTCGCTTATCCGTTCCTTCTTCCTGATAC